AAGAAAACAAAAATAACGACTTTATTCAACAATTCGTCTCCTCCGCATCACCGTAGCGCCGTTTTGGAGAGAATATCCATTGAGCGTAAACTGCGTATACTGTTCTACTTGTCTGTGTCAGCTGCACCAAAAGGGATACATTTTCTATGTTTATTTACGCTTTGATTTGAACGAAAACATCATATCCGTGTGGTGCGGCTGACACAGAACATTATTATATATAGAACATTATTTACTTGGCAGTCAGTGTGACAGTCACAAGCCTCCCGGTTTTCATCCAAAATATCTTAAATTGTGTTCCGAAGACGAACGAAGCTTTTACGGGTTTGGAACGACATGGGGGTAAGTGATTAATGACAATTTTGAATAATTTTATGAATAATTTTCATTTTGGGGTGGAGTAACCCTTTAACGTAATAAATGTAGGCTATATGCTGTGTTTAAATGTGTTGCCACTTGCTTGAGCTACACGAACCTACAAGTCAAATGCATGAATAATAGGCAATGTTGTTTATATTTATTGAGTTTAAACTAATATGTGATAAAAGAGGATCACAATGCTGAAAAAGCTTTTTCAGAAACATCGTTTGGATTTGAAATCAAAATAATGGATAAATGTTGTGTTTGTGCCTAAACAGCCGCGGATCAGTAGCGGACTGCAAACTCGTCCTGTGTGAAAGCACAATCAGTCTGTGCTGCTTCTGCACTGCATACGTAACGCACATGAACCGCATACGCACTGCAGATGGAGCATGTGTGAAACAGGCGTTATGAAACATCACAACATTTATTTCCATCAAGAGTTGCATTCAGTTTTGGCCGAGATCTTGTATTGACAATGGGAGAGTTGAACCAACTCTGTAAAGCGACTCCAGCACATCCCAAAGACTTTCAATAGGGTTAAAGGCAGGGTATGTGATTTTTCAAAAACACTTTAGAAAACTGATTTGGGCCGAATAGCAAAACAAACTTGTAGCCAATCAGCAATAAGGGGCGTGTCTACTCGTGATGTGGAGGAGAGAGCTTTCAGTGCATGGGATGGACATTAGCCGAGCCGAGCGACAGAAAGATAGAGATGGCGGATAAAAAACAAGAGGAAAACGTCTGTGGAACGATAAGGCAAGAAGTAGGACCCATGTAAATATCGGATCAGCTTTCCAGCGGTGGAGAGAACTCAAGGAGCGGAGGCCTGCGATCGGACGCCGAGGTTGCTTTGTTTCTTCTCAATAGGTGAGTAACACCGTGTCTACAACAGCTAAAGTCTGCCTACACTGGACGCGATCAAACGACCGTTGAAAACCATTTGAAATTTGTGTCAGCACGTCATAAATAGAACCCGGCAGCAGTTTTCTGTCGGGGATTTGTTGCGCCGCGCCGCTCACGTCCGTAGACACGGTGTAACATTGGTTTTGCTTTGTTTCACAGAACTAATCGTTGCCTGGGTTGCGTACGTATATGTGGGGCGGAGCTATCAGAATAGAGGCAAGACCCTTTTGGGGTAGGGGCGTGTTTGTTTTGGTGATTTCAAATATCAACATTGACTACCAGAAATCACTTACTCTGCCTTTAAGCTCAGGACTCTGTGGTGGCCAATTCCTACAGGAAAATGATTCCTCATGCTCACTGAACCACTTTTTCACAAACTGAGCCTGGTATTGTCATCCTAGGATATGCATGGGCTTGTCTTCCAACATGGTTGTTAGGGTTAGGATTAATACAAAATGTTGCCAAACACACAATATGCCAGAAACAACATGTTGATCACTGCAATAATTATTAAATTCTAAACTCTTTGGTATTTGCTTATTTAAAAGCCAGGCAGTGTATATGGGCACTAAATTTGTCCATAAGTGTGAGTGTAAATGTGTAAGGGTGGATGGATGGATGGATGGATGGATGGATGGATGGATGGAAGTTACATTCAAAATCCACTAGCCTAAAATGTTGGATCAACTTTACGCATGACACTTATGCTTGCACTTTAGTAGGCATTACACTTCTGCTAAATGTGCATGTGAATGACACAACCAGCACCAGATGGGAACCAACCACTGTCACACTCCTCCAGCTCTAGTAATAAAATCTGATTTAAGGATGTAATCCTCAACTGTACTCACCTTACATCAGCCAGAGAGTCTGTTTCGTTTATTTCAGGTGGGTCACCCATTGATGCTTCACTCTTCATAGACAAACAGCTCGGTTCAGGACATTCTCTCAGAGTCAGACTAATACAACATGGTTTCATGGTTTGTCACTAAATCTTTAAAGTCAGTATAAAGGATAAAACAGGTTATGATGTCACTATTTATATCAAATTCAAACCTGAATAATCATTTTAACTTAATATTAGTATACAAAATATGCTGTTCAGTGCATATTTATTTCATTTATATTTTCCATATATATATATATATATATATATATATATGTGTGTGTGTGTGTGTGATTAAGTCTTAACTTATTTAATCCTCTAAACTGTCCTCACCTTACATCAACAAGAGAGTCTTTCTCACTCAACATAGGTGGGTCACACATTGAAGCAGTACTCTTCAGAGACACACGTCTACGTTCAGGAGATTCATTCTGAATCAGACTAAACACAAACACGGTTTCACTAAATCACTTCCTTCCACCCAAACCTCCCTCTTTTGTCTTAAGAAGTATTTTTACAGTTCAAAGGTAGAAGCACAAAACAGGTTAGGTTGACAATATTCAGATAAAATCCCAACCTGAATCATAATTCAAAGCTGAATGCATTACATGATTACATGATATGCAGCTGATATTTATTTCATGGTGAATCAATTCCGTTTTTTACTTACCTTAAAAACAAGGAACAACTCTTAATGTTCTCTTACCTTTTCACTGTCTTCAAATCAGTTTCTGCTGAGATAATTTTTCTGGTGGCCATGGTGTCATGTTAAAACTATACAGTACAAAAATATTGCGTCTTCTGGAAAGGTGAGGAGGGGAAAAACGCCTTTTAATCACTGTATCTGGTTACTTCTATCTGGTGTTTCAGAGGAAACTACGCACATTACTTCAGATGCAGCTGTAAAAGGAATTAATGATTAACTGGTCTTAGATTCTTCAGTGCAGCTGAAAGTTCTTAAAGTCAATGAATGTTGTTGTGTCAGAATCAACTTTGATCTCAGTGTTGTTCTTTGACCTGAGTAGAGATGTTTATGGTTACTTTGTCATTGGCTGCAACATTAAAATGCCTCCGGATATTACAGACGTGACAAGGCAGTTTTTAAAAATATTGTTTCATTTATTTAAGCATTAACAGTAATACTAAGTAAATACATGGAGGAATGCCTGTATGCTCTGTGAAAAGGTAACAGCTATATTTCTCCACAGCATTTATAACAATAAATCATTATTATTGCTTTATCTGTAAATAGATACCTTCAGTCATCATTAGTCTTTCCTTATGATTCCCAATGACACTTTTGAGTCATTTAAGGGAGGAGTATTTAATACATACAATACGACTGTGGCTACCCAGTAATCCTCCCCTGTGACTGGTGAATGTCCAGCCACAGATTTTTATAACACTGTAAAAAGCCACCTTAGAGGTTTTTAGACAAACTAAATGTTGGCTGAACTTGACTAGAAAAAGCTGATTACAAAACAAACTGACAGTGAATTTCAGGATTACATGCAACATTTCAAACACAGCAAACAGAGAGAACTTACAACATGGTTGTGATGTGATTAAATGCTTGTGGTGTTACTCATTTGTAAATAGCTTTGGATATAAAAATATTTTAAATAGCTATTCTTTTGTTGTAGGCCTATACTGTTGATGCTGGTTGATTGTATTTTCTAAATTGTGGTCTTATCGTGATTTTCCCATGTGTTTTTATTTTATGTATGTTCTGCATATGTAAGTAGGCGATTATAGATAATTTAAAGGGGTCATATGATGCTTTTTTAAAGATCATTATTATACTCAATATTGTTTTCAAGTGCACGCCGACACGCCCCCTTGTTTCCGTGGAGCACTGCGCAGTTTCACTTTCACTTACACTTACACTTAAGAACGAAGGACTGTCGAGTCTGTTTGCTGCAGTATCTCACCCTGGCGAACGCATTTATATAATCCTCAACAGGTACGTTTTTATACATTTCTAAGCGTAACATTCCTCAACAATCGCTGTACATTATCGTTAAATTACGTTGTATTCCTGATCCTGACGTTATGGTGGAACGCCAGTTGTAAAACAAGTTTTCTGTGTTTGGTGCTCCACTGAGAAAGCTTCAAAGATGTCCAGCAACTGTCTGTTTTAGTCATCAGAAACTGTATTTTGCGATTTACACACATTTTGGGCAACAACCAAACCGATTCTTAACCGCTTAAGCCGTCTACAGTCTAGCCCTTGCATTTATAGTTTTGTTCGTTCTGGCTTGTTTGCTTGCATTATAGAAGAATATAGACCTAAAATTGGAATATATTAAATTAAATAAATAAGTAAATGAACGAATGGCCTTTTGTAATAAATGTATTTTTAAAATTTATTTATTTACTTTTTTATGTCTGTACAAATGCATTAATTAAATTTTTTTACATGTATTTGTGTATTCATATTTTGTCTGTTTTCATCTATTCTTGTTTATTCATTTTTTTTTGTTTCATTGTTCTTTCACCCGATATGATGATGAGGAGGTGTGGCTTTCGCATTCAGGCATAGCATTTAAGCCCCTTTTCAACATTTCTCCGTAGTCCTCTAGGTGTAGACAGAGTGTCATTCAGCCAAACATTTTTTTCTTGTGAGATATCTGTGTGAGCTTTAGGCATAATGACAGTGGTTGACAGACATACTGGCTTCTAGGAAGACTAGAAAAAAAAACATGTTACTTCATTTTGTGTTGTAATAACTTATCATTTGTAACTCCCCCCCACTATTTATTGTTTTAGTGTTAAGATGGACATGAAGGAAATGGTTATTGAAGTGAATGGACTTCCAGACAACTACTCCGGTAATAAAATGATTGACAAATTAACCATGCACTTTCTGAGGCCAAGTAACAATGGCGGAGAGGTTTTAATAGTGATTTATCCCACCTCCAACAAAGGCCAGGCTTATGTTGTTTTTGAAGAAGAAGAAGGTATGATACTATGCGTTGATATTTTGTTCTTTAATTATACCTTACTATAACATCATATTGCATGACTAACATTTCTTTTTTTTCTAATTCAATATCTTAGTACCAGGGGTCTTGGAACATAATCATGTTTTGGAACTGGATAGTCAGTTTTACCCACTGGATGTTAAAAAGATGCATCAGCCTAAAGTAAGACATTTCATTGGTTAACCTCACTGAATCACACAGAATTATGTGATTTACAACTTTAGTATGCAGCATTCCTCCCATAATCCAGTCACTGCACATTTTTAATAATTGCCATTTTCCTAAAGTCTTGGGGCCCCAGAAGATAAAACATCAAAAGATAAAAGTATTTACACAAGAAGAATTTACACAAGACATATAAACATAACTATAAACTATAAGAAATAAAATATAATTAATCAATTAACAAGTCTAAACGACTGAAGGCCGAAAAACAAAACACATTAAGCTGGCAGTAAGAACAATTATGTTAAATTGAATCCAAATTTTGGTTGACTGCTAAGAAATTATTTCTGAAAGTAATGCTCTGGCACCATCTAGGTGTCAGAAAAACTATAACACACAGCTGATGATTTTCCAGATGCTTGATTTACATACAAACAAACCTAAACAAGATAAATATAGTTTACTCATAGCTTATGTAAACTAATGAAAATAAATCAGTAATAATTCTCCAAATGTTGACATTTTAGATTAATGGGCAGTGTTTTTAAAGCACTGATAGGGGTCAGAAGAACTGGCTGAACAGGAATGTGTTTATTTCTTTTGCATTCAAACACGTATCAGAACGTTTTGATTACTGATGTGTATTGACACAAACTGAAAGTTACATTTCATCATGGAGCATTTCTAATTTTGAACTAATTACTTCATTGCTTTGTTTTGTCAAGACTAATATGTAGTACACATGTCATTACCCGCCACACGCACTGCATGATGTTCAAATCTGAAACTGTAATTACATACATATTAATCATTAAGTATTCCTCAAATGTTGAATCCAGATATTACCGTAACGTTGAAATCATATAGTGATTAAATAGGACCAGCACTGCACAAACTAAATAAATAACAGCCTAAAAGTGAGGCATGAAAAAGATATTTCCTTAACATGCTTATGTTCATATTATTATTATTATTATTATTTTTCAGTTGGACACGCCAGCTGAAGCATTCCTCAATGTGAAGATGTTCTCCAGTCAGAGAAAGATCCGAGACATTCTTCATAGCAACGGCTTTCAGGTGTCAGAGACCAGCCTGGGACAGCTGCATTTGCAGGGAACCTTTCTTAACTTAAAACGCATCCATCCCAAACTCATGCATCTTCTGGCTCAAGAAATCCACCCTCAAAGAAGAACACCTTCGCAATACTCTAATGGCTACTCGTCTGACTCTGTCTTAAGAGCTGGCTCCAGTGATTATGAATCTAGATCTCATTCCACATCGAGGCACAGTCACAACAATGGCCACTCAGTGTATGCTGCGGGCAGAAACCCATCTTCTGGAATAAACTCAAGATCCCCAGAGTCCCCAAACAGGCAGGCACTCATGCAAGCTGCCTCTCCACTGGATGTTAGTTCAAGCGCAGAAAGTTCCTTCAGCAGTCCCACCGGGAGCTATGAGGATTCCAGCACGAGCATTCGGCAGCGGAATCTCTCATCTCCCAAACGGAAAACGGAGGATTCCTTTCATGTGGAACCAGATGTGTTTAAATACGTAATGCACTTTAAGGAATCGTTTATTGAAAAAATACAATCAGATTACCACACTAAGATTAATCATGAAGATGATTCAGGGGTTGTTAAGGTTAAAGTCTTGGGAGGAGCCTGTGAGGAAGCAGCTAAAAAAATGTCTAAATTCATGCACGAGATGAGATCATCTCTATGTACGCATGAAATAGACCTGAAAAAACTTGACTCCAGTCAGCAGAGACACATTTTCCAGAACGCTTACTCGTTCCAAAGGATCTACAATGTTTTAATTAGGCAGGAAAGTGACATTATTAAAGTGGTGGGGTCTTCTAAAGACAGTTATGAAGCGAAGGAAAAGCTTCTTGGACAGGAGGTTGATAATGCTCCGCCAGGACACTTTACAAAGAACAATCTGCGACGCAGCAGGTCCTTGCCAAGACCAAAAACAAGGGCCAGAGAGGAGAACACAGACTTAGGGCAAAGTCCTGATGCCGTGGACACTACTACTGTTAGTAGCTCCTCTGCCTCACATTCCCGAACGGAGTCTCAGTTGCAGCAAGTAGTACAACAGGAAAGAGGTCGCAAGCCCACTAAATCCTCTACACCACGTATCAGGGCACACAGCGCCTCTCGGTTACAACACAAAAATCAAAGCAGAGCAAACCAAGAAGCATCAAGTTCTGATCAGCAGGATTTGACACCCTCTCAAGAAGTTCAGACATCTAGACAAAAACTCCCTAAAATAATACCTCCTCTTTTTTCAGCTTCTGTTGATAAATTTTTAAAAAATACAAAGTCACGCTTAAAAAAATGACTGAATCCAGTACATCAATAATTTAGCTTATGGCACAGACTGATCACATCAAGTTATCATCCACTGTAAAACACAGAACTTAAATAAAATTGGTCAGAGACCTTGCGATTACCTCTACTTTAAGAAAGGGACGAGACTCTATGCTGACAATGCTATTTGCCTAAACCGGGCTGGTTCAGGTGTTTAGGGTTGGAGCTAAACTCTGGCCCTCCAGGAACAGGTTTGGACACCCCTGGCCTAAACACATCTATTTCATTTGTACTCACTCTTGAGCACTTTGCAACAATCATTGTGAATGCTTTGCAGTTTTTGTCTCATATGACGAAGAACTTATTTTAGCTGTTGTTCACCTGTCTGATATATTTTTCAGTATTTGCACTCCACTCGATGTTCAGTCTTTTCCTGCACTGCTGATTTGTCAAGACTCTCGGTCATTACCATGGAGACTCGATGAGGAAGTGTCTTTTTCTGCATTCTACAGGAAGTGAGGCAGGCCCTGTGGTTGATTTAGGGGCTGAGCCCCTCCCTGTTAGAAAAAATGAAACAAGAACCCAGGCTTTTGTGTTAAAAATGATAGAATGTGAGAAATACACTAATGAGTGCTTTTGTTTTTCCTGTAGATTTATGAAACACCGTTTTTTATTTTATTTTATTTTATTTAACATTGTATTAATTGATGATGTCTATTTGAGTATTTCTATCAGATACAGATTTCTGTCATACTAAAATTCCCCTAATTTTTTTTTATTTACCTGTGGTTTGCTATTTAGGAATTTCCACAGTGGTCATTATGATTCATTGGTTGTGTTAACAAAATATTATTTTTAGCTATTTGAATGATTATTTTTAGGGATGTGAATTATTTTAGGCATTACTGTAATGTGGACAAGTGGTAATTGTAATCAAAAGGCATTGAACGTTAATCTGTATTCAATTATCTGTGAAGTTTGTATTAGTTGCACATTAGTTATAAAAGTAGAGTGACTACTGACTCATATCAGCTCATTCTCTGATTTCCCATGTTCTTCAAAATATTGTAATCACACAAACATTCTCTACAAGAAACTGAATAAGGCGTTACTCATTACCTAAACCATTCTTTCTTTTTATTGTCAATACCCGTTCAATGTGTAAAAGTGGAATAGTCTTGAATCAGCAGACATAATGACATAACCTTATGGCTTTAGAGCAGTAAATTAAGTTTTGTCATGGACCTGAACTTTCAGCCGTCAAATGTCTTACCTTTAAACTTAAATGCATTTATATTCTGGTTGCCAATTATCAACTACCGCATTAAGTGAAGAGAATTTGTAGTTGTACATGTATTTAATAGCATGCAATTTGCAATACTGTGATTGACCAGAAACAACATGTTCATTTGGATTGTTCCATAGTATTTAACTGATAGTAGCTCTGCTGATTGGTATCACAATTGTTCCCGGCACCCCTTTTATTTCTCCATAAATGGTGTGCTGTGCGTCCTTTCCTGTCTGTCTGTATCTTGTTTGGTACTGTTGTTTATGGTTGTGAGTAGGTTTTGCAAGAATGGAACAGATCCTAGATTAGTGTATGTGGGCAGACTATGTGAAAGATCTCATTCTTGACAGGAGTCTATGATCCGCACTCCCCCATGTTTGCAGGACCAGAGGAAGAGGGTGGGCTTTCGGAAATGCCATTCATCCTCTTATAAGATAATGATCACTTGTAGCTTATTTCATTAAATACTCAATTTTTGTTTGACTAAACAATATTGTACATTTAAAAAGCCAAACTGTGTTTTGGCTTTATAGTTCATTTACACTCTACAAATATGGGGAAGGCTATGAATGACGAAGGATTGAGCAAAAAAAAATCAAATAAAAAGGCTTAGTTAGCAGGACAGAGGGTTAGTTGAGGTTTCGCTGTGGCTGCTTTCAGGGCCTGTGGTAGCTCAGCAAGATGCAAAATAATACTCTTGTTTAAAGATAGTTCCTTCTACATGTGTACAAAAATACGCACATCTATATGCAGAGGTTCTCTTGAACAGGATGACATGCTGGAGCCTGCAGACCGCAGTCATCACTGACTTCACTCAGCACAGCCTCGGATCATGCAAAGACTGAGATGTAGGCCACACCCACTCCACATTCGTCTCCTCTACCGGCTTCGAGAGGACGGCAGTCAGTGCTGGGTCTCTGTGTCTTTCTCATCACCTTCCACTTTTCTCTCCATCCATTCATCCATCAGATAGACTCCTGCAGGGATGGCGGAGCTGGAGGGCCTTGAGTACGGAAAGTCAGACTTTGTGCTTCTAGACGAGGTGACCATGGAGCAGTTTATGGAGAACTTGAGGTTAAGGTAAGAGAGAACAGTTTTCAACAAGTGGTGGTGTGTAAAAAGATTCAATGGACATTATGTACTATTACAAATAACCTGACAAGACAGCAGTGAATATGGCCTTCAAAGAGGATACTTGGTGTTGATGTTGAGTTAAGCTTAAACTCAATTTGAGAGCTTTGATAAAATAATTTTTATCTCTAGAACTTGCTTGTGAAATCTGTTTCACTTTCAAAAGTGAGAATTTAAAGTCTCGCTTTATGTCTTTAGTGCCTTTTTGATTTTGACCACTCCCTTCTCGGTAGACAAATGAAGTGACGAGAAAATGACACATTTTCTGAAAAAAGTGGAGGGGGAACCATGTGTCATTTCACTTTTGACTTTCCCGCTCATAGCTGAAATATCAATTTAAGTGGCTGACATCAACTGCTTAAGAGACAAAAATTTACATCTTATCATGTCTTGCAACAGCTGATCGTAGCCAGCCAGTCGAATCTTAGCAGTTCCGATGATGAAATCAAAGGTTTCTAGTTCTCCTTTCGTTTAACAGGCAGCATTTGCACCGGAGTCCCTCATCTGTGATGTCATCGGTTAAACCGGGGTGAATCAGATGACCTTTTCGCAAGACTCTTTATGAGTGTGATGTTAAAAAGTGTTTGACGTTTCACTGCACACTTGTTTTGTCTGCCACAGATTCTTATGCCTCTGAAACCTCATGAAAAAATTTATTAATTTCTTGTCCATTCTGTGCATTTTGTCAGCTGATGTATGACCAGGCCTCATGTGACTGTACCGCACATTCATACATCAAAACACTACTAAGTTCACAATATGCTGAGGGAAGGCATCTTACAAATTCAATCCTTAAATATTATGAATTATGTGTAGACATTAATGTGAATGTGCTTGTTTTGAAAGACTATAAAGAATGTATCGGCTATATTGACTAATGCATTTTAACTTCGGACAGATGTCTATATATTTTAGCTGTACAGCAGGAGGAAGAGATAGCGTGCTAGTGGATATGTTTGTTTAACCAAGATTACACTATATTTTATGTTGATTGAAATTCAGAAAGTGAGTCATCTTGAGCCCCACTGCACTTCCTGTTCTCACTTCCCAGCCCCGTATCACTTCCTGCTGAATACAAGCGTGTGACATTGAGAAACATACTGTGGCACATATACCTAAATGAACGTCGTTATGACACTTGTTTCCCCTTGTTTAAATTTAAATGGGTCATATGATGTTGCTAAAAAGAACATTATTTTGTGTATTTGGTGTAATGCTCTCCAATTGTATTATGATATTTGATAGAGTAAAAAGGGATGCTGTTTGTGGTGTTTTATTATATTAATGTTGACACAAATTCAGGATGTACTCCTATCTGTAACTTCATCTTAAACCTCTAAGTATGATTTATGATTAACTGAATCCCACCACACCTTACAGTAATACTCAATGCATCCATCAATTGTTCTTTGTGTCTGTTCATTTATCAGGAACTAAACCAAACCAGCACTATGATGAAAACAATGAGTTAATTGTTAAAGCTGTTTCTGCTGTTGAACTTGACATTGTTCACAGTATTGTTTGCTGTTTTCAGGTTTGAGAAAGGCCGCATCTACACTTTCATTGGAGAAGTAGTGGTATCAGTCAATCCGTACAGACAGTTGGATATCTATGGGAAGGAGGTCATTGAGGACTACAGGGGAAGAGAACTGTATGAGAATCCACCTCACCTGTATGCTGTCGCAGACGCTGCTTATAAAGCCATGAAGAGACGAGCCAAAGACACATGCATCGTCATTTCAGGTACAGCAGCTACTAAACACACAATCACTGCTGAATAAAACAACAATTGCACAATGAACAACAACACAATAATCAAACTGGATAACCAGAAAGAAAATGCACAAATGCACAATGAAAATAGTAAAATATTTAAGCCTGACATATCAAATGATAGTCTATTGAACCTTTAGACAAAATATTTAAAAAATGTTTTTGTTGAGTATCATATTTTATACATCAGGCTTTTATGGCTCATATAGTGTGATATAGTGAGAATATGGAGCTTATATTCAAAGAGGGGGAAAAATGCATTTTGGTGCAGTTGCTGATATTTAAATGGCCTAAATTTAAGATGAAATGTTGATAGCTTGTAATGTAAGTCAATGAGATCTTTATAACAGTATAGCAGACTATTTACATAAAATCATATAAATATCAGTCATCACTATATCTCTCAATATTATATGAGATTTAAATGATCAAAGCTCTGTAGTTCTTATTATGGAGGGCAAAAACATATAATGCAGTGAAACAAAATGATGACTGAGAGATCCTCAAATGCCTGATGGATCATATTTGATACATGATTTAACATGATTTTTTAAGAACTAAGTATGGGTAATAAACTAAAGCTAAACTGCTTCACTCCAGTATGTGTTCATCTTGAAATATTATGCCCTGATATACTTCAAGCAGAATCGAAGAACAAACAGGTGTAACATCATTTCGATCAAAATCAAGCCAAGACCTATACAGGTGCATCTCAATAAATTAGAATGTCGTGGAAAAGTTCATTAAAAACCGGGGCCTATATAAAATCTTATTTTTGCTTTCATTTCTTCCATACTTCTTCCATGCTGCTTTTAGCGCATCTGTAAAACTGTTAGGAGCAACGGTGACATTATACTCTGTGATGAACCGTGTACGAGAGAGTTTGTCCACTGTGCCTCTGACTAGGGAAGAAAAAAACTGATAAACAAAGACTTTACAAACAAAGTCTGGATTAGACCGTTTCATACAAATTTCCTTGTGTTTCAGGTGAGAGTGGAGCAGGCAAGACTGAGGCAAGCAAGTACATTATGCAGTACATTGCAGCGATCACCAACCCTAGCCAGAGGGCAGAGGTCGAGAGGTCAGTTTCCTGGAGAATACTGACAGCTCTGGACTTTAAGGGCTAATTTTTATTTATTTATTTATATAAAAGCATTTTATTGCTTTTGTTACTCAATAGTATAGCAAAAACAGATTTGTATGAAAATGAAATGTTTGAAAAGAAAATGTCAAATGCTCATGTTTAATGGACTATTTTGTAAAGTTTATTTGGGGATGAAGGCTGAACATCTTCTACCGTTAGATGGCACTATGATGTTGAGTTTCTTATTGCGTTCCATATACGTGTACCCTGAAAAACACACGTTTGTTTATACATTATTTTTTGACTATTACTGTATTTGCGTCCTACCACAGTGTGAAGAACGTGCTCCTGAAATCCAACTGTGTGTTAGAGGCCTTTGGAAATGCAAAGACCAACCGCAATGATAACTCCAGCCGCTTCGGCAAATACATGGACATCAACTTCAACTTTAACGGAGACCCCACGGGAGGACACATCAACAACTACCTGCTGGAGAAGGTGAGACCTTCAGGATCGTATCAGTACACATTAAAACGCATCATAAACATGACATATGAATGAAACTTGACATTGCCTCATAAAATAATAATTGTTCAATTTGAATGTGGTGATCACAGTTTCATTAAAAAAGGATACAGCAGCCCATTTTTCAGCTAGGTCTCAGCTAGATCAATATTAGAGTGTTTTTACTGAATGTGCAGGGCTTTGTTGTCATGTGCAGGTTATTGTTTAACTTTGTCTGGTTTGTTCAAACCGTTATATCCACATATGGCACCCAAACAATTATTATTATTATTTTAAATGGGGACAGTTTTGTGATATGCTTGTTATTTTTATAAGTCTGTAATAAGTGCTAAATAATAACGTTCTAAGATGTTTTCTCCCATCTGATATGATCCCAAGCTAATAAGGAACGTTCTCAGAACAGTGACGTTAATAGAATAGTCGTTATCTAGTCGTTTAATGATGTTCTCAAAACGTTAGCACTAAAACATTATTTTTACATCATTTATAAAATGCTTTTCTTTTGAATCGTTTTAGTTGGAATGTTCGTTTTAAGTAATGTAACAAAGAAATAACGTTCATAACGAACGTTAGCGAAATGTTCCCAGCACATTTTTTTTTGCAAGCTGAGATATAACAACTGAAAGCGCTCATAGTTAATCTGCTTTTGTTCTTTATTTATATTTTCGTTATATTACATTGGCAATAAAAAGCCATCAGTGCTCTGCAGAAATGTTAATAAATATTGGTAAAAAAATAAAAGAGAGGTGCTTACCCTGTCACACCCAGGGGCGGACTTACCCATTAGGCAAAGGTAGGCGACCGCCTTGGGCCCCCAAAAGCCAAGGGCCCCCTAAAATGCTTTTCATATAGAGGAGAAGGGGAAAAATGACGGGCTAGGGCCTATATTTGAGACCCGTGCAGGGTTCTAATCCACTTCATCCAACGCTGTTTTGTTCTCATCTGTGAGCATGCTCTTGATATATGTATTTTAGGTGTGTAAATGTATAATTGCCTTTTCATTATTTTTTTCAGTTTTATTTAAATTTGTAGTTAAAACAACTAAAAATAAATGTATTTTAAAGTTTAGAATTAGACAGCCTTTGCACACAGGCTTACGCTGAAAACAACAAAATGGAACCTCAAGGTTGATCTAGGAAAATGTGTGCAAATGTATAGGGCCCCATTCCTATATTTTACCTGGGGCCCCCAATTCACTAAATCCGCCCCTGGTCACACGTATAATTTCTACTCTGAGAATACGTGAAAAGACTTAAAATACTGACATAGAGCTGTCGAAACAGTTGAAACATTTCTAAAATAATATTTATAAAAATAAAACTGCTTAGTTTTGTGCTGTTTATGTGAATTGGCCTCTTTTGGGGGGTTAAGTGTAACACAAATACCATGCTGCCTTTACTTCTGGCTGGCTTTCAATTGTATTTTTAGAGATTATTAGGGTGGATTGAGAGTCATATCAATAGGCCGACTGTATAATACCGAAAAGACAATTAACACAGATACTTTGCTGTACTTACAGTCAAGAGTTGTCCAGCAGCAGGAGGGAGAGAGAAATTTCCACTCATTTTATCAGGTGAGATCTTCCGAACAGGTTATGGTGAATGAGATTACAACATTACTTCAGGAGTACCAAATGCTGCAAGAATTGTTATTCCGTTTTTAACAAACAAAACACATAGATCAGTATTTCTATGTTCTGTTTATGCAGGTGTTACGGGGAGGATCTGATGAATTGCTGAAGTCTTTGTATCTGCAGAGAGATCCTGCACAATATGCCTACACCAGTCAAGGAGCCTCCGTCACACTTGTACGTACTTATCCTATGAGTATATCACAGTTTATGAACACACAGCTTTGCACAGACTAAGCATTCGAGACTGAATGAATTGCATTCTGCTCTCCTATAGAGCTTCTGTATACCCATGACTAATATTACTATACGAAATGTACCATACAATGTTTTTATGTTTCTTAGTCTCTATCTTTTTCTGTCTCTCTGTCATTCCAAATCATCTTCACAGGCGTCCAATAATGACTCCTTATGCCACAAAGCTGTGATGGCAGCACTAAAAGTGATCGGCTTCACTGCTGAAGAGATCATCTCCATCTACAAGATCCTCAGTACCATCCTACACCTGGTCAGTCCAACACTGAGTGCTCTGGAAGATTATTTTCTTCTGTTTTTCTGTCTGTTTGTGGTCAGTGCAGTGTTAAATTGATGTTTAAAGCACTGGTTCTATTTTGTTTTTCTTCTTCAAGATTGTCCAATGCAATATATGAAGGCCCAATATAGTAAAATAATTAAATAAAATAAGAAAAAAAATTTAAAAATCCAATAACTGAAACTGTAAAAAATGACCGTGAATTTAACGGTAAAAGACTGTAAAAATGCTACAGTAAAAACCTGGAACCACTGGTTTAAATGCCTTGCCTTGTCATTGTTTCAGGGCAACCTTCAGTTTACAAGTGATGGTGAACATGTCATACTTGTCGGAGAAGATACAGTGAAGCACATATCTGAGCTGACGTCCACAGAGCCTGAGAATGCCAGGAAAACACTGCTGTACCGTACAGTGGCTACTGGAGGTGGTGAGGTCATTGAAAAGGGACACAACGAGCAGGAAGCTAGCTATGGAAGAGACGCTTTTGCCAAGGTAACTGCAAAAAGTTTTCCTTGTTTGTAGCTCATCCATCATCTAGTTATTCTAATTAAACAAAGATTCTTAGAGGGGTCATATGAAACATCTAATTTTCTTTCATCCTTTAAAATATACCAGTTCAATGTGCTATGTAAGCCGCTCTTCATTTGAAAGATTATATACTGCAGAAACAGCTCATTAGGAAACTTTGTGATATCAAAGGGATGAATACATTAACACAAACACCCACATTACATCAGTAATGTCAGTTAGGTGTCGGGGGAGTGTGGAAAATGTACAATTTGGAACTGTTTTTGGTGCAAAAAAATGTTCTAAGTGAACTTTAGGGAAGAAATGAAATGATAAATGTTGGTATGACCACTTTAAATAAGGCTTTGCTGTATTATATGTTCATATGATATGTTTAGTTGTTTTCATTAAGGCACGGCTTTCATTTTTAGGCTTTATATGAGAGATTATTTGCGTGGATAGTGGGTCGTATCAATAGTGTGATTGAAGTGAAGGACTACAATCCTGCCCTGCATGGCAAAAACACTGTTATAGGTGTGCTGGACATCTATGGCTTTGAGATCTTTGACAACAACAGGTCAGTGTCATTTATGAATTGAGTAGTTATTGTTTGGCATTAAAATTCTTCAAATACATGGGACTTTTTTTTTTTGACTGGTTTTAGTGGTTGGTTCTTTCTTACCCATTTCATGTCCACAGCTTTGAGCAGTTTTGCATTAACTACTGCAACGAGAAGCTACAGCAGCTCTTCATTGAGCTTATTCTACGACAGGAGCAGGACGAGTACCAGAGAGAGGGTATCACATGGCAACATGTGAGCATAATACACAAAAATAATCCATACTGAACCTGAAATAAAATCCATGCACCTTTTCTCTAAATTGGACTTCTCTTTCTTTTAGATCGAATACTTTAACAATCAGATCATAGTGGATTTAGTGGAGCAGCCTCATAAGGGGATCATCTCCATCCTGGATGAAGCCTGTCTCACTGCAGGGAAAGTCACAGATACTGTCTGCCTGGACAGCATGAACAAAAAGCTGGGCCAGCACCCTCACTACACCTCCCGGAAAGTAAGCACTCAGAAGAGATACCATTCCTTCTTGCCTCAGCAATCCTCCGATCACATAAGCGGACATTTTTAGGCCTGCCATGAATTATGGAACAAAACTGCAACCTCATTTGACCAGACTTGTAGTGGGCTGACTTCAGTTTAGCAGTAGGGTCAGAAGGGGGCAGTATTCTTTCACATTACATGCACACAGAAACAAAAACGTGCAGTCTGATACCTGTTGAAGTCATCACCGTTGAAAATCAGACGTTTTTTTTTTTTTTTTCCTCTCTCTCAGCTCTGTCCCGCCGACAAGACCATGGAGTTCAATCGAGATTTCCGTATCCGACACTACGCAGGAGACGTTACGTGAGTGTTTCAAAGTCCTTCGTTTGATGAGTGAAAATTAAAAATTATTTCTGAAACAATCTGAGATTAACGTCATTGTACCACCGTGATCTGCCATTCAGTTCTTAAAAACAAAATGACACATTTAAAACAACAAACAAAAAATATAACTTTCAAAATGTGACAGAAACAAACAGAATACTTAGTAGTAAATAATTAAGGACTTGATTTAATTGGATCACCCGGCCACAAGGCATACATAAATTGAGAGGAGGAAAAAAAAAAACAATCATACATTTTAACATTTTGCTGAATATTGTTTTCTTTAGAATAGAATGCACTGATAAATCATTCACAATAATGCTACATTCATGTCAGAATTAAACAAAATTTGTGACCAGTTGAATGCTATCAGAGATATTTTATTCAGATTACCTTGAAATTAACATTTTATTCAAATTAAATTTACCTGGGCCTCATTTATATTAAAAAAAAGTGCATGCCAAAATTTTTTATCCTAAATTCCATGGATCCTATGTTAAAAGTGAGGAGCAAATCAAGATTTATTAATCCAGAAACTGAAGTTCTTATGCATAAAGCAAATAAAGAGCATGTGTACAGTAATTAGATTAATTCAAAGTTGCTTATGCAAATGTAAAGATAAATAGGCAGTCATAAAAGGCATTACAGGTTTTTTTTTATTTTTTATTTGCTTTGGTGCTATTTTCACAAAGTGTATATTTTCAAAACTCTTAGTACAAAAATAAAAACTGATCACAATTGTTACATCGCTAGTCATTATTTAAAAACTGATCGCATGCTTTCATTACAATTATATATGTTTTCCATCAGCATAATCAATGTTTCAAAACATAAGATTATTGTAATATATATTGAGAACATTTGATTTAATCACCAAAACACAACAGTATGATCTTCTTTCAATTTTTGACCTTCTTTCAGTTCATTCAAGAGCAAACAATGCAAGATGCATGTTTCAAATCACCTTTTTTGCTGAAATAATTACAGTAATACAGGCAATAATTGTCATGTTAGAAAATACACTTACGTTACCTAACTTGCATAACTCAAATAAAATCCATAATGTTTGTAAAAGTATTTTTCAAAAGGTGTGATGAAGGTATGACGTTTTGCTCACTTCTGGGTGCCAATTTGTCCCCAAAATATGGTTAAGTAGGTACACACACACACTTACAACATAGTGGTTATCATCATAGATAAATCACTTATAGTGTAAAAATAATTCATTATTTGGTTATCCCTAAATTGCAAACAAGTTCTATAGAAACTATATCTACTGAATCTATATTTATACAAATCTATAGATGCACCAAACGATTCACTGATTAACCATTAAAATGAGTTAGATTAAATGATAGACAAATGTATTAAACTAAATGAGAAGACAAATGAAAAGTTTAATAGTGAGAGCTTTATGAAAGGCAGTTATTGTGAATGAAACATTTATGTACTGTAGATGAAACACTTATTTTGTGTAGTGAAAAGGATACGTTGTGATTGTGTGTATTGTACTAAGACAATTGAAAATATGCTGAAATGTTTGCAAAAAAGTGCACTTTTGATGATCTGTTGTGATATTAGTACTAAGAGTTTTGAAAATTTAACAGTTGCTTGTGAAAATAGAGCCAAAGTGAATAAAAAAATATTATTATGCATAATTAATGCACAAATGAGCAATGTTTAACTGCTCTGTGATAATTACATCACTGAAATTAATTAATTCATGTAAATGATTTCCTGAAAGTAATAATACGCACATACGTTTACCAGCACGCTTGGATTTCCTTGCCCAATTATGTCGTTGTACTTCTTCTGAACCATAAAGAGATTTGCATGGGCATTCTGAAGGTGGGTAGATGAAACACTTATTTTGTGTAGTGAAAAGGATACGTTGTGATTGTGTGTATTGTACTAAGACAATTGAAAATATGCTGAAATGTTTGCAAAAAAAGTGCACTTTTGATGATCTGTTGTGATATTAGTATAAGAGTTTTGAAAATGTAACAGTTGCTTGTGAAAATAGAACCAAAGTGAATAAAAAAAATATTATTATGCATAATTAATGCACAAATGAGCAATGTTTAACTGATCTATGATAATTACATCACTGAAATTCATTAATTTATGTAAATGATTTACTGAAAGTAATAATACGCACATACGATTACCAGCATGCTTGGATTTCCTTGCCCAATTATGTCGTTGTACTTCTTCTGAACCATAAAGAGATTTGCATGGGCATTCTGAAGGTGGAGTTGATGCACTTGTACACATTGGGCTTGAATTTAAGATGAACTGCGATTTATAAAGAGGGATGCATGCATTTAGGAACATTTTTTACATTATTTATACATGAGGTTCCCATCTGGTGCCCCAGCATAAATACCTGAAAGTAAGCAAGCATTCTAAAAAAAATTATACTTTCTCACCCCCATAAAAAAGTCTCAAACCTAAAATGTATTGCACATATGCTGTACTTGTACCCCCCTAAAAAAGATGTAGGACTGAGACTCAAACACCTCTCGTTATACATACACCCTAAAAAGTGGAACTTTGAGGGATCGTTACATTTCAACTTAAGTTCTAAGTCTAGGAAAAAAGTATGTGTCTAAATCCACATATACAGAGTGCATATGAATTTGTACATGCACACTGAATGTACATATAAATATGCTTTATATATCAGTTTTTGTTCCAAGGAACTAGGACTATCCTGGGCTGAGATAATGACAATGATGTTTCCATAAAAGTCTGTATAACCAAAATTTGCTGTTGACCATGACATTCAGGAAGCTCCTGTGGTTAAATTGCAATACCAGTGCATTGATGTAACCACTCAAAAATAAATAGGAAATTTAAAAATGTTTAAGCAACCAACTTTACAATTTTTGGATTACTTGAGGTAAACATTGACCTTTGAAGTTGGACATCAACATGGTCTCTTCTTTGGCATTATGAAAGTCTCTTCATGAACGAGTCCAAGGATGTGACCAGTTCAGTACAACCTCTTGTTTTCATCTTGTAATTATGTTCATTTCTATATTATAAGGCCTGTGACATAAGACCTTCAACATTAGAGAACTAGGACAGCGTGAGTTTTGATTTAATGTTGACGTGCTGGTCTGAAGGTGAAGTTTCTTTAAAGGTTGGAAGATGCAGTTTTATAAATACACAAAGTTGCTGCTGGTGCAGATGTCTGCAGTTTGCTGTACCTCAGCAAAGGCTGTGTCCTCATTCAGAAAATAGCAAGACCTTTTCTCATTGAGGAAAGAGGAGCAGAGAGAAGCTACTGGAGGGCTTAGCTCTGAAAATAGATGACACATTTTTCACTTCGGTTTCCTTTTCGCTCCTTAATGAGCATGTGCTTAAGTGTAACTGCGGAAGCAACTGATTAAAGCTAAATTAGTCTCGAAATAAAGTTTCACAGTGCATTTCTGCAGTTTCCTTTTATGTTGAAATTGTTCTCAGATCTGTTCTTCACGAATCTGTGCGAGTGAACCGTGTAAGCTGGTAGGAGAAGTCAAGGAGACAATTGTAAATTCGGCATTTCTTTGGGAACTGGTCCGAAAAATGGGATGAACTGTGTCGGCAGCCACGTGTCACATGCTTGATAATTAGGTCAAGAGTGCAAAGGAATGTCACTATTATGACAACCCTGCAGTTAAAGCGCCGAGCACGCTCACAATTCTGTGACAATCGCTTTGGATCTGTCTGAGAATGCATGGACCATACAGATCTCCTAGACGGATGCCTGTCTCACTCTCAGCCAGACGCACACACTAGGAAGTTCCCTTAGGATGAAGACTGTCAGAACTGGCATGTCAACCCCTCAGTCACACTTACAAAATAAAATCTGTGAGATCCCTTAGGCTCAGCTGTGTCAGTGATGGAGGAAGGTCTCGCTAAATATATACCCTGACCAGCCTCTTATCAGACCCCCCCAAACCATGACCTATTTCCCTCACTCTCTGTCTCTCGCTTCCCCTCTCTCTCTCTTACTTTCTTTTTTCCCCTACTTCCATTGTGTCTTTCCTTGTATGTAGTCTAATTCTTGGCTATGTTCAGAATAGCATATTACCATACTGTACTAGCCTTACTCTTTCTGCAGCACATTGCAGTTGTCACGATCACCTGCTAATGTATTGCACATATGTTGTACTTGTACCCCCCTAAAAAAGATGTAGGACTGAGACTCAAACACCTCTCGTTATACATTGACCCTAAAAAGTGGAACTTTGAGGGATCGTTACATTTCAACTTAAGTTCTAAGTCTAGGAAAAAATTATGTGTAAAATGTCTAAATCCACATATACAGTGCATATGAATTTGTACATGCACACTGAATGTACATATGCATATGCTTTATATATCAGTTTTTGTTCCAAGGAACTAGGACTATCCTGGGCTGAGATAATGACAATGATGTTTCCATAAAAGTCTGTATAACCAAAATTTGCTGTTGACCATGACATTCAGGAAGCTCCTGTGGTTAAATTGCAATACCAGTGCATTGATGTAACCACTCAAAAATAAATAGGAAATTTAAAAATGTTTAAGCAACCAACTTTACAATTTTTGGATTACTTGAGGTAAACATTGACCTTTGAAGTTGGACATCAACATGGTCTCTTCTTTGGCATTATGAAAGTCTCTTCATGAACGAGTCCAAGGATGTGACCAGTTCAGTACAACCTCTTGTTTTCATCTTGTAATTATGTTCATTTCTATATTATAAGGCCTGTGACATAAGACCTTCAACATTAGAGAACTAGGACAGCGTGAGTTTTGATTTAATGTTGACGTGCTGGTCTGAAGGTGAAGTTTCTTTAAAGGTTGGAAGATGCAGTTTTATAAATACACAAAGTTGCTGCTGGTGCAGATGTCTGCAGTTTGCTGTACCTCAGCAAAGGCTGTGTCCTCATTCAGAAAATAGCAAGACCTTTTCTCATTGAGGAAAGAGGAGCAGAGAGAAGCTACTG